AAAACAGGATTTAAAAGGTGTTGAGGATATACATACATGTTATTGAGACTAGAATGAATTTCCGTAACTCGTTATTCTCTTCAGAATCACAGTAAGATTTCGCTAGACGATACAGTAAAACGTTTTACCTGAGATGCACAAGCTGGGAAGTTACCCAGTATAAGAGATTAAGAAGTGAAAGAAACATATTAGGCTCACTCAAATAGTTCCAAGCATTCGTTTGAACTCCTAATAAGGTAGTTGAAACAATTTTAAGAATTCCCTGAACGGTTAAAACTCGGTAGATCGCATCCAGAGAACAAAATAAGCAAGGTAAACAACACAGCAACTGGACGTCGATCTTCAAACTTTAGCATAAAAAAAGAAAATGTCTTCATCACAGGAGCAAATAGGAAGACAGAGGAACAAAAGGCCGGTGTTTGCTCCATGAGTAACAAGTGAATACGTAACACGGTAATGCCAGCCTCCCTCAGAGCCCGACACACGGCGGCAGGCGCTTCTATCAAGATGAGCATCGAAAAACAGCGCTTTTATTTGCTCGATAAACACCAAACACTGCACCAATAACATCAGACTATACTTTTTATATCATGGCCCAACTTGGAGGACCAATAACATGCTATTATAATGGCTAGAAAACTAATAAAGTAATTAGATGGGCACTAGCAGACGACGAAGCTGCTGGAAGCAATATCTCACCATTTTCCGCAGGATCGCCTTTCTTGGCCGTTGCTGCATTTCCCATTGTTTGAGCACTTGGAAGACACAAAACGGCTGCCCCAGACACGCTCCAGGGTGATAAAACGCTTAAAATTCCACTCGTAAACGTATAAAAATGGTAAAAATAAACACCGAGCGAATAGAGAGGCACACACGACACACCTAACCACCGCAACGTTTGACAGCGTACTGACTTCCTCAGCGTACATATGCACACACACAGGCGCGTACAAACGAACATGGATGCGGCATTCGTTGTTCATTCATCGGCATACCTTTAGAGTTTAGACCGGTAGACATGCATAGCATTCAGCGTGAACATGTAACTAATGCAATTATTTCCACCTGAATTAGGCAGTGTGATAGACCATAGTACGGCAATTTACCAAGCATCAGATGCAGTTTATGAGGCTCGTGGCTCAAGGCCGTTAAATTTTAGAACCTAGCCGGATCTTCCCAACTGCTGCAGTCATGATAACGTGAACTGCAAGACGGCCGCCTCACGCCAGCATGTTCTTACATGAAAGAAGTGTGATTAGGAATGGAATATTACCATGATTTGGCGAGTGATAAAATAGGCGCCTGATTTATAGGAAGCTTGTCAATCGTAAGACATTGAGATGGCCGAATTGAAAACGACACGTGCCGATCTGAAGCCATTGAAATGGAAATGGTATGCTAACAACACAGCGTCCGTCTTCTATTAAATAGTCAATAGTCTCTTTCGCTTATAATTATTTAAAAACGACCCAATTAACAGGATGATCATATTGATAAAAAGTTATCTAGGACTCGAGTTAGTGACAGAACTAACAAGAGTCTGAACAATTGAAGTCAATGCAGGAACAACGGCCAGAGTGGTGGGGTTTAGAGGCGTGATTACTGGACGCCATGACCGTCTAACGTTGCTCATGAATGTGAATTTCATGTTGATTTTGGTCATTAAAATTTATTTTCAAGTTTCATGAATGTAAATTAATGTTATTCACGAGTTCAGGCTGTTGCATGTAAATTCCATGTTGATTTTGGTCAACAAAAAAGCTCACAACAGAATGGAGGTGAAGTAAATGTTTCACAAGATCTGACGTGTTTCAAATTCATGTTGCGTTTGGCTATCGAATTTTGAAGTTACAGTTGCAATTCAAGTAGTTTTTTTTGCTTGCTCACGAATGTTGTTATGATATTCATTCTTACAATATTGATTGATGTACGAAATTTATTCGTTGAGAGATTGTTGCCAGCTGTGTACGATAGTCTACCCTGAGTTGGAGCGAGAGTCATGGCATGAACAATCAACGAACGAGATAATTGCATGAGCAGCATGCCAGTTTTCAGCTACAATTATTGCACCAACAAAATTGTTAAAAAGGTATATTTTCAGCCCAGTTGACCGTAAACAAAATTGTTTATGCGAGAGTTACGATCTGTGGTATTTGTATATAAAGCCAATATTCATGTAAAATCAGCTTCTGGAATTAACAAACATAAATTGCAGCAATGCACAAGGGGTGAGTAAATACTATTCGTCTCATCGACACAGGCCTCTTCAAATTATAAAATGAAAAACATGAGGTTTGTAAGCATTCACCAGTTTTATATTCAATACATTGTCTATTCTATCCATCATTCTACAGAGAAGTAAATTCGCCCGGTAACCTTTAGTCCCAAATCCATCCTAATCATCGGTTCTGCGTCAGGGATGGGTCGTAAAAGTTCTGCATGGCGATTGGCCGCGGCAGCAGCCAATGCGATTGGCAGCTGCAGCAGCCCAGATGATTGGCCGCTGCAGCAGCCCAGATGATTGGCAGCTGCAGCGGCCCAAATGATTGCAGCTGTAGTAGCCTAAATGATTGGCCGGCAGCAGCCAAGACGATTGGCAGCTGTAGCAGCTCAAATGATTGGCAGCTGCAGCAGCCTAAATGATTGTCAGCAGCCCAGATGATTGGCAGTTGCAGCAGCCCAGATGATTGGCAGCTGCAGCAGCCCAGATGATTGGCAGCTGCAACAGCCCAGGTGATTGGCAGCTGCAGCAGCCCAGATGATTGGCAGCTGCAACAGCCCAGGTGATTGGCAGCTGCCGCAGCCCAAATGATTGGCAGCTGCAGCAGCCCAGATGATTGGCAGCTGCAACAGCCCAGGTGATTGGCAGCTGCAGCAGCCCAGATGATTGGCAGCTGCAACAGCCCAGGTGATTGGCAGCTGCAGCAGCCCAGATAATTGGCAGCAGTAGCAGCTCAGATGATTGGCAGCTGCAGCAGCCAAGACGATTGGCAGCAGTAGCAGCCCAGACGATTGGTATCTGCAGCAGCCCAGATGATTGGCAGCTGCCGCAGCCCAGATGATTGGCATCTGCAGCAGCCCAGATGATTGGCAGCTGCAGCAGCCCAGATGATTTCCCAGATGATTGGCAGCTGCAGCAGCCAAAATGATTGGCAGCTGCAGCAGCCCAGATGATTGGCAGCTGCAGCAGCCCAGATGATTGGCAGCTGCAGCAGCCCAGATGATTGGCAGCTGCAGCAGCCTAAATGATTGGCAGCTGCAGCAGCCCAGGTGATTGGCTACAGCTATAGCGGCATCAGCACGTGTCAGCGCCCAGTAACGATATTAATCATCATTCTCAAATTATGAACCTAATGATTCAATAGGGGCTCCAAACCAACACATTTTAATATAGGGCCCCTGTAAGTTATTGGGTATCTGCATGCCATGGATCGATTTATGAATTTAGTGCAATATCATTACTACTCATTCGTACCTAAAGAGTGTTACTTCTACCTACCTGATATGTGTTACTTATTCCCGATCGCTATTTTTCAAGGGTACAATTACATTCATACCCTAATATCGAAATACCTTGTTGACTAAATTTGCTTTCGCGGGAAAATTGCAATTGCTTCCAAAGCACAGTTATTCTTACTTGCAAATTGATAAGCCTACCTGACTAATGGTATTCCTACGGGGCATTGTTATCGTTTGTGCTTATGGTAATTCATACCTGAATTTTGTTATCTCTGTTCGAAATGTAGCTATTCCTGGCCAGCTCTGGTATTTCTGCCAAACTAATGTTATTCTTACCTGAAAAATATTCGTGCTGAATATCAGTATTTACTCTTGCATATTGTATATGTTCATGAATGATGTTATTAATCTCAGGAAAATACTATTCTTACCACAATAGTGGCATTCTTATTTAAATATTTCTAATCATGATCAAATATTGCTATCCTTGCCAATGTGGTTATTAAGCCTGAAGGTTCGTATCCTTAACCTAAATTGCTATCCTTAGTATAAGTATTTAAGACTAAACATGGTTATTCTCTACTAGAGAATATCAATAGGATTTCATCCCTGAAAAAGATCTTTCTTTTCAATAGAGATTCTGCTCTGCTTAAAGAGAAGCCTCTTTAACAAAGCTCCTCTCCTCAATGAAGAGTTACGCTGTGCCGAGTTTAGAACTTCTCATTTCACCAACGATCAATTCCAGAACCTGGTTGCCATGGCGACGCCCTGTCGTCTGCTTGCTCTCGATTGCATTCTGATTCTGCTCAGCTTACAATACACTGAAGTTCTCATCTCTTTTCATCTATAAAATTGTTTTTACTCTATCATTGAATATTACCGATAAAACTTTAATAGTTTAGAAACAGCTTTCCAGCCTCGAGAGTAATTGGTATGCAGAAGAAGATTGCGTCAAAGAAAATGTGAAAAGAAAATGATCCGAAATTCTAACAGTAACTCATCAAAAAATAAATTGCGCCTCCCATTCTTAACGAGAGTTTTATGATACAATTTAAAAACAACCTAAAATAATACCAGACCGTCGTTCTTATAATAATGCAATAGTTATAGAAAACGATGATTTTTTAATCTGGATCAATTACGTGTTGTGAGAATATAATAAATTATTATACTTATTTCACGCTTTAAGTGTTTTTCTACGAGTTGGAAGAATCCGTTTGTTGCCTAACACCTAAAGAAAAACTACACATTCACTGATAGAAATATGAAAAATTCTGTTAAAACTTAACAAATTTCACGCGCGTGCGCTATGATGTTTGCGAAATAGTCATAGAACGTAATTGAATCATTCCCCCAACAATGTAACTCCTACTGTAGAGCACAGTAACTGAGCAGTGTAATCATATACTGAGCTGTGAAAATAATGCCATCTAAAGAGAATTGTTCTAGAATTAATCGTAAAACATTCTCGTTAGAATAAGTTATTAAATCGGAATAACCACGAGGGAAACAATTGCGAAGTGAATGTACGTCGTACTCACAGTCAAAAGGTTTATCCTTCGGCATGGCGTCTTGCAGCAGCGGGTTGGTGACAACCTCTGTAGGTGTAGGAACGACCGCAGGTTTTTCTGGATCTGCTGTGGGTTTCTTTTTCTTGTGTGGCGAAGAGTCTTTACTTGAGGACTTGTTGGACTTAATATCAGCGGAGTCGTCGGAAAGCGACGTCTGGGGTGGACTTTTCTCGTCTTTTAAATCGTCAGAACTTGGTGACGATGGGTGAGTGGGTGACGTTGTTCCTGACGAGCCTGGAGAGACTGAGTTCGGCTGAACGGCATGGTCGGGCAGACGAGATTTGGCTTGGTTTTTGGCGCTGCTGCCTTTCTTGCCTGCAATGATAAGACGATCAATGTTAGTTAGCAGTCAATTAGTCAAAGCAGTCATCCAGCACGATGCTAATTAGTCCGAACATCAAACTGTTAGTCTTGAGTCTTTAGAAGCCAAAACGAACAGAAAAAACTCTACAACAAAGGGGATCACAACAGCGGTGACTAGCTACACTACTAGTCACCAGTGACTAGTTACACTACCAGTCATAGTCACCGGTGACTAGTAACAGTACCAGTTACCGGTGATTAGTTACACTCCCAATCACTGCTACGTTCATTAATTTCTATTTCATTCAACAAAGAGTTAGTTTTGATTAAACATTTTGAGAAAGCTTAGGGGGACAGCTTAGTGGTGGAAGCAATCAAATCTCGATTTTTAATAATTAGCAGACTATCACACGCTACTGAATTATCTCTAGTTAGACGACACTGCATGATCAATGGAGCGAATTTTACAATAAGTTATAAGATTTAGGTCAAATACGAAATATTCAACAGTCCATACGATTTTCACATACTTTTAGAAAAAAAACGATAAAAGCAAAAAAAAAATCTGGAGCTTAATTGTGTACAAAACAAGAAATACGAAGCGATATCATGAAGTTTCCAGCATTAGTGCCTCACACCAGAAACTGAGCCATAATTAACGTAATTAGTGTTGGTTCGCATTAGGTAGGTTTTAAGTTTTAACCTACCTATTTCATTCAACAAATTTATTTAACTTATAGGAGTTCCCTCGTAGGTTAAATTATCGGCCATCTGTTGTATCTTGTGCTCTAGCCAACAATATGGAAAGCATTTTATTATTAGGCTTCAGTTCGACATAAGCTTGTGGGAAAAAGGCTTGAATTATTCTTTAGGATATTGATATCATGAAGATGTTATGCGAGCCATAAAAGGATTCTTCATTGTCCCAAATGAGAGAATCGGTGACAGGCCACATCAGGCCTACACTTTAGCGCCGAGATCACTATGTTATGTTATGTTAAATAGTGAATAGTTTAGGCACTAAATAGTGCCTAAAATTCATTGAATGTGAATTTTAGGTTACTAATTGTTTGTACCTGTGTTCTAGGTTTTGAACTGACGATGGAGCTAGACTCCGAAACGTTTTCTCTTATAAGAAATGGTGAAATTTTTGGCTATTTTCTTAACTTTTAAATTCCTGGTAAATTTGCAGCAGCCAAGTGATTTTAATAGTGCCACTGTATGGATCAATCTAATTGCACTATGTCATTTAGATTGAAGGAGCTTGATTGCCGGTGGCAGGCTTACATCTCGTGACCTATTATCGTAGCCGTGGTTCATGATGAATATTTAGCGTCCATTAATCGATCAAATGATCTATATTGAAGTATTTTCCCATTCTAACGTTCCACATGAAGTTTTGTTATCTCGTAATAATCTGAGTTCAAGCGAGGTTTCCTAATTACTCATTGCCGTGCAAAATGGACCATTTTACAACAGGAACAATTTCACTAGTGCGTCAGAACAACATATTCAACATACCTAGAAATTCACCCACATATTCAACATACCAATAAATTCACTCACATATTCAACATGCCAAGAAATTTGCTCACATATTCAACATGCCAAGTAATTCACTCACATATTCAACATGCCAAGAAATTTACCCACACACACTATGAAAGGTAGAACGTCGCTCTCAATTAGAAAGAGTTTATTCCATTTTCCATTGAATTAATTCTCGGTTATTCATTGCAGCAGTACATTATTACTGAGGCTTATTCATCATAACACGAGTAGCGGTCTCGTCTGTCATGGTCTAAAAAAATTTCATGTCAAGACCAGTAACGGGTCAGTAATATGAACCATTTATGAGCTACCATTAATATGAACCATTTATGAGCTACCATTTACATGAACCATCTATAAGCTACCATTAATATGAACCATCTATGATCTACCATTTACATGAACCATCTATAAGCTACCATTAATATGAACCATCTATGAGATACCATTTACAATTTTACATGAACCATCTGCATGCCACTTGCAGCTAATAAAATCCTATGTCAAAAGTAATTATAACTCCCCAAGTGAGTTCTATACAACAATAAGTTCAATGTGCGATTTAAGCTAAGTGTGGAACACGTGGGAAGAGCACATGGGAAGGAACGCATGGAAAGGAACACATGGGAAGGAACACATGGAATGGAACACATGGGAAGGAACACATGGGAAGGAACACATGGGAAGGAACACATGGGAAGGAACACATGGAAAGGAACACATGGGAAGGAACACATGGGAAGGAACACATGGGAAGGAACACATGGGAAGGAACACATGGGAAGGAACACATGGGAAGGAACACATGGAAAGGAACACGTGCATCCATAATTCAGACGACGAAATTATAGAGTTTCCTTTAACATAAAAATGAAGGAGACTGCAACCTTCGACGCGAGTGTCTCCATTTCTCTGACTTTTGGAACTGCAAAATTCGCGCGTAAAATAGAAAGAAATTCACGCGACTCGTTGCCGGAGAGAAGAAGGCGATGCGCTGTAAGTAAAAGCGAAATGAGTATTGATATTCGTGGATATTAACATCTAAAGCAACAAAAAAAATCTATCATAATTAAGCCTGCATACTTTTTGTTTCGTTCAAATGTTAGCAGATAATAATGCACGAATTCTACGCACGTGTACATATGAAAATTACTAGTGAATTAAAAGAAATCTCAATCAAAATCAAGAACAAAATAGCCTTATAATGACACCGAAGTAATACAATTTTCAATCATTAACTGGGTAAAAGTTTGAACAATTGATTAATAAAAATGTATAGGTAAATCGTAGAATATCTTTATAAACGCGAGGTCAGTGGCACACATTTGTCAACCCGCGTATCAAATCCAAAAACTTCGTCGTGACGCACAAATTAATAACGACGTTCAGCTGTAAAAATAACCAGTTTCTGGAAGAAACTTCACGCTTACTTCATGCCACCTTGCCGCAGTTTGCATGCCACTTCATGCCGACTTGGAACAGCTTGCATGCCACTTCATGCCACTTTGACGGAGCTTGCATGCCACGTCATGCCACTTTGACGGAGCTTGTATGCCACTTCATGCCACCTTGACGCAGATTGCATGCCACTTCATGCCACCTCGACGCAGATTGCATGCCACTTCATGCCACTTTGACGCAGATTGCATGCCACTTCATGCCACTTTGACGCAGCTTGCATGCCACTTCATGCCACCTTGGCGCAGCTTGCATGCCACTTCATGCCACCTTGGCGCAGCTTGCATGCCACTTCATGCCACTTTGACGCAGCTTGAATGCCACTTCATGCCACCTCGGCGCAGTTTGTATGCCACTTTATGCCACCTCGACGCAGCTTGCATGCCACTTCATGCCACCACGGCGCAGCTTGCATGCCACTTCATGCCACCTCGGCGCAGCTTGCATGCCACTTCATGCCACCTTGGCGCAGCTTGCATGCCACTTCATGCCACTTTGACGCAGCTTGCATGCCACTTCATGCCACCTCGACGCAGTTTGCATGTCACTTCATGCCACAATGGCGCAGCTTGCACGCCACTTCATGCCACAATTTGCATGCCACTTCATGCCACCTCGGCGCAGATTGCATGCCACTTCATGCCACTTTGACGCAGATTGCATGCCACTTCATGCCACTTTGACGCAGCTTGCGGCTCAAAGGCAGAATTGATCTGAGGGCGAATATTTCTCTCACGATTAGTTATTCCCCAGAGGGCGAATGAATGCTTACTTTATCATCAAATCTAAACAAACCTGACCGACATAAAGACCTGATTTATTAATGTGTAGATTTCTACAGATAATAGGAAGGTAGATATGGAAAATGGCGAATGAGTGTCGACACAACTGCTTTGAGCTTTCGTCCATCAAAAAAAAAACAAGAGCATAGAATTTTTAACACTTGTATCATCTTTCCATGCATGCCCTGTATATCGTACATTGCGTGTCTGCTCAATCTATAAATAACATTTCAGATCACCGAAGTAAAGTCAAACACGCAAACAAATCGCTCTGAATTGAACTTTGGCTTTCGTTCCAGGCACAAAGTATGCAAAATTCTATACGCAAGGCGGACTAACTCGAGATAAAATTCTTATGACCATCAATTCTAACACGCAATTCCACAAATCTATCCAGAACTGACTGTTCGTTTTTTTCAATTTTGGTCTATTACTGTGTAGACAACCCCAGCCAAAAAATGTTCATAAATAAATGAATTTACGCCAAACACTGAGTAGCAAATTCATTTGGAATTGAAGCTGCGTTTTTGCCAGTGAGTTTCATCGACAGTGCAGCGTGCAAGTTAGCACCAACGCGAGATCACTTTCACTCATTTTTACACGCACCTCCTACACTTGATCTCACACTGCTCTATTAAAAATTATGAATGTCTTATCACTGGTCATCGAATTTGCGTTGGTCGGCCGTCACTGATTCGCCTATGATGCGGAATATGAGAGCGTGTGGCTGGAAATTGATTGCAGACTGCGCGTAATACACTGTTAGAAAAATTACCGTTAACGGTATTACCGGCGTTTCAGTGGCCGGTCGGCACGTGAAAAGAAACACCTTGTCGCCGTTTTTATTCTAATTTAACACTAGAAATCCGTAAAACATCTGATAAAAACGGCGAAACAGTTTATTTTCACGGGGCGACCGGCCACTAGAATGCCAGTGGGACCGTTTTTTCACCGTTTTTTCTAACAGTGTACGTACCGAGCTCACCATGGTCCGATGAACTGATAACCTCAAAACAGCATTCCCACCCACATGGTCCTGCATCGCGGGATCTTGTCTTGATTTCAAGCCCTGCAGCATGCAGCGGCCAATCAAAATTTAGCTCAATAAGGATTTTATAGGCTGGTCGCTGCCGCCGATGGAACGGGGCCGGGGAACAGGCTTCATGATACTACAGCGTCTTGCTTCATAAAGACGAAGCTGCGACAAAAAATTTCAGTGAC